GCACGAACAACTGCATTGAAAGATATGACAGCAGACGACCTGCAGACTCCTGTTGGAGATGGCGCTGAAGCAGCTGCCGTCCGCACCATTCTAACTTCCGGTTTGGTTGCTATGCTGACAGTCGTCTCTACCTAGAGAGGGAAACTTCCGTTAGCTGCCTAGATAGCCACCCCATTTCCTCGTCAGCTAGTCTGCAGAGCACTCTTTGTCAACCCCGCCACGCTTGTTAGCTTCAGGCTGTAGAGCTTACATTGCTGCATGGACAGCCAAACTGTAGCTGTTCCAAGCAACAGACACGACGCAGTGAAAGGTAACAAAGACATTGGGGGAAAGTCAGAGTTTAGGATTTACACTCCGAGTCCGTCCCACCCCACACGGCGGTTGCAGTTTTTTCTCCAACTTGCAGCGACGATTCCAGTTGTATTTCGTCGTGGCCTTTGATTAAACTCCGAAACGTACCGGTCGGGTAGGCAGCGAACTGTATGCAGGCAGTTGGCCTCTCGTGCAGCACGTAGCAATGAGTTGTGCTGGAGGTAGAAGCAAATAATTGAATTAATGTCAAGCGCATTGCATTAGTATGTGAAGACAACTAATACAACTAATATCTGAGGCACATCAGCGGCCACACCTAGACATGCAGACGTTTGCGGAGTTCAGGTTTACAAGAATATCAACGTGGTTCTTTGTGATTTACTGTGTGCATCCCCTGTAAGTTCGCACGTCTCTCTTATTGCTCGAGCAAAAACAGGGAGATAGGAGAGAGATGGGTAGACAGAAACACAGGAAATACTAGGGGTTCGAAGGGCAAAACAAATACTGCAGTAGTTCAGGGACAGTCACAAACAAACATATATACATATACCTACATCTTTACTTACAAACAAATAGACGCTGCAAGGAAGCATAGTATCTTTGCATGAGCGCCCTTGAACATCTCTGCATTTAAGCCTATGTATACGCACATATATATATATATATATATATATATATATATATATATATATATATATATATATATATATATA